TTTTTCTCTTTATCACAAGAAAAAAAAAAAGCCATGGAGTAAGTCTGTAAAGAATCGTGAAGACCAAGGGTAACAATTTGGCTTGTTAGTGAGTGGTGTGAGCTAAGTTTAAAATGAGCATTGCATTGGTTCTGGTGGGGAAGCTACATCACGCTGGTAACAGTATCACGGTTTCGCAGGGCTCATTGTATAAAGGCAGGTGGCAATTCCCTGGAGACTCAATTTTATATGTGTATATATATAGAGAGAGAGAGAGAGAGCGCAAGTGCAAGCTACCGTCTCTACCCTATACGTAATCAAAATTTCTTTTTTTTCTTTTTGGTGGCTAAACAGCTATGTCAGGCTTCAGTAGCACTTGGAAGATGCATAAAGCACACTTTGAATTTTGGACCCGTTACAGTGTTTGCTTTCACCATCCACACAGGTCAGTGAGGGCCTGTTTCCAAGTGGCTCTTGACTCCGGTGGCACTTGAGGAGTCTGGTACAAAGCATTGCTAAGTCTATGGAAAGCTGTATTTTGATTTATGGGAGGCGAGTGAAACCTTACAAAGCTATATATTGGCTGATTTTTAACTAAAAAACAATGGAGCTGAATGAACAAAGGGTTTGGTTTCTGTAATTCAAGAGCAGGAGGCAGAAACTCACCCGACCCAGCTCTCTCATGGAATTTTCTGGAAAAGAATCACTGCTCTCTGCCCTTGGGAAATTAAGACCTCTACAAGATTTTCTTGGAAAACAGACGCGGTAGTAGGCTGCAGTCAGATGACTGGTGCTCTCAGTCAGCCACTCTCTCCCTTTCTCCCAGTGAACGAGGATTCACTGGATATTCTTTTCTGCATAAACTGGCACGTTCCCACAGAGTAGTTCAGAAAGTTATTTTCCAGAAAAACGTTTGGCCAAAAATAAAATCTCTACCAGAAGGGAGTAACAGGAAGCTTCTTCTGTTTTAATACAAATTCTTGTCATTTTACTGTTCCACCGCAATGAATTGTGGTACCATGTGGTCTATTACTTGTAGCTTTACCTCGTGCAGTACTTCCATTAGCATTACTGAAGAGTTAATGGCACAGGGACTTGATGGGTAGAAAATTGCTTATCTTTATTGTCCAAATATACACCAAAACTATTACTCCCAAAGAACTAAATTTAACTAGACAGGCATCGTTCTGGTGCCTCCTGTTGCTGACTCCATCACGGGGAAATATTGCGTGATTTTTTACGGGGTGAGCAGAGAGCTTTTGTGAACAGGCAGATGCTGTTCCCTAGTTATATGTCCTGGTCTCTCGTCAAAACGGTAGGAGCGTGTAATTAGTGCATGGTAACACTGCACAGTCCAGCATGGGCGTATGTGGCTGATGCAGGCCCCTGACCAAAGTGTTGGTCCTTTGTGCTTTGCCAGTAAGATGAAAAGGCAATTTTAGGAAAGGAAACCTTGTTGTCGGGTATGAGACCAAAGGTATCGGAAGTTAACAAAACCTCGGTTTTATTGAACAGTTGCAATGTGGTACTGTTCTTGAGGAATTGCTTTTAGAAAGAATAGTGTTCTTCAGAGTAAAGAAAATAGAGCCAACTGCAGAGTATGAGTTACCGTTGAAGCACTGGAATAATTAATAGAGTAAAATGTTAAGTAAATGGAACAAAAGCTGCTGCTCTTGAAGGCTGGGGAGGAGCAAGAGTTATGGACGTTAATATTGTTAAGTATTACCAAGCATAGGTGTTTGGCGTAAGCCCGGTAGGATCAGCCTGGTAGGCCCAGTGACACGTGTTGCGCTCAGTTGCAGTTATGGCTGTGCAGATGGAGGTAGCAAGGTACCAGCATCCATGCGATGTTCATTGCTTGCTCCTTTACAGTAGGTTTTTGGGCTGTTCATTTGGCAGGCATGTCTAAATCTGGACTCGTGTTCCAGTTTGGGAAACCAGAGAAGTGATGGACATCATGTCTTTAATAGCAAAATTCCTGAACTTGGTAGCTTCATTAAACGGTGGCAGCAACCCAGTGAGGCCAAAAATAGGACATCCATCATAGTCAGGGACAGAGGAGAGCTACATATTTTTGCTGGCAGCCAATAATTATGAGGTTAGAGAGGGGTGAGTAGGATGAGGGAGCACAGAGAAGGTTGAAGCATTCACTCGTGTTCATTTAGGGGCCTCATGGTCAGACACAACATAAATACAGGCGCTATTAAATCCAAAAAAGGCATCTTCCTTTGGCCTGTATCATTCACTTTCCACTCTTAAGGTAGCTAAGTTATTTGCAGGGTGATGATTGGAGGCACTCAGGTTTCACTGTAGTGGATGTGTATTTGACTAAACAAGCCATGGGCTGTGGCAAGGGTTTGATCATCTTTTGGAATAATGAAGGGCTGAGCTGGGCACCGGGATAGAGAGATCTCAGCTCTTCATCTTTGGATCCTTTAGCCCCATCGCGTGAGTGACACTGAAGCCCACATCAGAACTGATCAAAGCATTTGGGCCCTGGTGTCAGCACCCATCGATCTACCTGGCTCTTTGTGATGTGCCTAACCCCAAGAGCTAGCCAAGGTTGTTGCCCTTGGCTTCCTTCTTCATAAGCTGAAGGTTTTAGCCTTGCCTGTGCACTTTCCTCTGTCTTTGGTGACTCTGGCATAGAGTTTGCTCTCGCCTTTATAGTGTTAAGGTCCAGAACTAGTTTGAAGTGCTAATTCCCAGAGTAGCAGGGCATTTATCCTTGAATGTACAGGCAGTCGCTCAGGAAAATGTCAAAGTCTGGGACCTGAAAGACTGCAAAGCACTCGAGGCTAGACAAGTGGCTAGGACAAATGCCTCCTAAAGCAATGGGGAATCTCTCTTGAATGACCAAGCAGTTCTGTTGGGATGGGGTTAAGAATAAGCAAAATCAAACTTGTTATGTTTGAAAGGAGTGTAAATGTCTAGCTGATTCACCCACAGCTACATTTGAGAATAATGGAACAGGTGTCAGGTTTAGGATTTGTTTCATGTGTTCAGCTACCCTGAAGCGTATGTTCTTAATTTCTCCATGATTTAAATGTTTCATTTGTTTGAGTCCTAAGAGATATAATGTGTACTTCTTTTCCATGGCAACCTCTGTTTCCAGCTTTTACCATCTTGTATTTCATGTTTGTCTTTTTTTTTCTCTCTCTCCTTTTTTTTTTTTTTTATTCAGCAGCTCTAACATTAGTCATTCTGCATCCATTTTGACTTCAGTATCTGAGTGACATTTTCTTTACTGCTCATCAGAAATTTCAGTAGGTCTATATTCTAATCCTTTTGCAGGTATGTAACTAATTGAACTGGCTGAGGAGTCTAAATATTCCTTACAGTAAGAGATGTACTGCTTTATGTGAAATATTAATGGACTACAATATTTTTGCAATTATTTCTAATTTGATATTTACTTGCACAGTATGGTTTTAATAATTTTTTTTCTGAGTACAAATTTTATAACATCTGCTCTTAAGAGAATATAATACAATCAAAAACGCCATATCTGCACTGAAAAAGCTAGGCAGCCAAAATCTTTTTATTGTCTACACTTTAGTGAATAGCCTTTATTTATGTTCCCTTATATATATAAAAAAAAGAAAGTGGAAAAGGTACATGTACCTGTAACAAAACAGCAGTGGAAATAGCTGCTAAATATGCTAAGCAGTGCTCATCTGTTCCTCCTGACCTTCCTCCTAAGTTCCTGTTGTTTTTTATAACTAGTTAATCTTTCCTTTGCATGGTTTTTTAATCGCTGCCTTAGAAGCTGCAGTCATGAAGGTGAGACAGATCCTACATCTGGGAATTTTTATAGAAGCAGAAGGATACCTGTAGCAGTGAGATTATTCCCTTAAACTTAGAGGAACGAGGTCTTCATGACCATACCAAGGGAGTTAGAGGATGATGAGATGGTTTCTGGCAAAAATTGTGGTTAGGCAAGAACTTAGAGTTCTGAAAGCCCAGAATATAAAGCCTTTGATCAGGGGGTCTTCCTCTACTCTATGAAGTATAATGCAAACCTGATACTGCCCGGAGCCTGTGGCAAGCGTTCTAATACAAATAAGTAAAAAATCATAGTTATTTGATTGTTTTTATGGTTTCTAAAGATTATTCCTGCATCCTTAGACTCTGCACTCTTTGGTTTTCATGCCTGGTGTTGCCAGATAAGAGAATTAAAAAGTTTAGAATCAGTCTACTGAGAATCATGATGTAGATAAAAACACCGGGAAATTTCAAAATGAACAACAAGCATACTACAAGTGTGAGGTGGCAACAGGAATTTAGCAGCTATAGAATTTATGTCCTCTAGAAGTCACATGTGGCCAAATTAGGTTTTAGATTGTACTTTTTTGAGATAAATAACAATCTTAGGCATGCTTCTAGACCATTCTGTAAAGGTAAAAGATTATTTGCATTTTCTCCCTCAATTTCATTCTTCTAGGCAATTAAAAAATAGAAAAGCCACGTTAATGACATGAATGGAAAATTAGAAAATACTTAGCTCAGTGCATGATAGTCATAGGTAAAGTGATTAATTTGACCCCTCTGTTTTGTAAATACTGTAATTACATTCCCTTAAGGCTATCACATACTTCCATCAAGAACTCCCTTACTGCTAGCATCATGGTACATTACAGGAACACCAGTGATACTGAAGCCTGTGTGTGCAGTTCTGCCAGGGTATCACTTCAGAGTGAATGAATTCTTTTTTTACAAGAAGTTACAAAATGGGTTAGGTTATTCACTTGTTTGTAAGTAGTTATTTCACAATCATGCTTGATAGTCAGGTAGTTCAAGTATTTCAGCGCAAACCTAAGTCTTTTGTAGTAAGTATGTAAAATCTGGTGTAAGCTAATGGCTTTTATTTTGCCTTCCTATAAAGCTGATATGGGACACCTATTTGAAATATGTAACTATTTTTTCTTCCTTTTAGATTGTGTTTTTGGAGCAAAATGATCAGCAAGAGCAACTGGCAAAGAAGTGGGGATTCAAAACATCTGACATAAGAGAACTGAATAATCAGTATGTGTTTGGTTTTGGATTAGTTTCAGCAAATGCAGTTTGTTCTCTGAGTGAAGTAATGTGAGCCTATGTGAACAATTTTAGTCACAGAACGCACTACACATCCAATCTCATGGGCAAAACTCCCTTTCAGTTCCGAGAGAACTCTTAATCCAAGATGCAAGCGTCTTGGATTAGGCGTGGAGAGTGAACAGTCTGCAGACTTTTTGCATTCCTTAGGCTGGGACCACAGCCATGAGTGAATTGTGCTGGCTGCTTCATACTGCACAAAGCAAAATGTTATATTTAGTTTTCATATATGACCTTTTCTGTTCATACAAAAGTAAACAACATTCTTGAGATTACATTCTACGTCCAAGTTGCTAGCAGTGGGCTGCAGCAATAGGTGCTAGCTGGAAATTCTACCCTTAATAAGTTTGGGTAGTATTAATGTTGCAGATGCAGGACTAAAAAGTTTGGGCTTGACACCCTCTCTAATAAAAAATAGTTAAAACTGTTAAAAATATTAGAAGATTTAAATCCTCTAAACATAGAGCCTTGCATTGTTACTTGTACTGCAGCAAGCATGTTTCTTTTTATTTCAGCAAGCATGTTTCTTTTTATTTCAGCCAGTGAAATCCCTTACCCTTCTGGTGAAATGAAATGGTTTTGGATTGTGCCTACTATGCTTTACACACAGTAGTACAACTGTAAGCAACTGGTGGCTTCGAGTCTAGACCTGTAACATCATTTTAGTGCTCAGTTGTTAAAGTGTCTATAAGCTTTGTTGGAACACTAATCATAGAGAGCATATGAATCATGAGGTGTTTTCTTCTTCATCTGAAATAGCCTGGGGAAAATGGAAGGCACTGGGAACGTGCATCAGATTGAGAAGGATCTTTCAGCATTTCTGGTGCATAGAAAGAGGAGAATTTATAAAAAGAAGGAAACACTTTTACCTCAGTAGCCAGGGAGAAAGCAGGAGGACTGAGAGAAATTTAGTATTGTATAGAGTTCCAGCATGCAGCAAAAAAATTATAGTGATTTTCTGATAGCGTTGATATTGTCATCCCTATTATTGCATGAGTACTGCATGACAATGAACTGTATTACAGTTTTGTTGTAGCTATATCTTTGCTCTCAAAATACTGAACAGAGATTATTTTATCAACCTCTTCATCTGCATTTCTAGACAGAGTGACTCTTCTTCCATTAAACCTTACATTTCATTGATTGACTATGTATACAGACACATATATAATGCAGAGGAAAACTGGAATGTATAAAGTTACAGTTTTGTAAATATAATCATCTGGCATCTAAAGGCATCCAAATATATCTATACTAGGAAGTAAGAGTGGGCCTGATTCTTCTCTTGTTCATGTTCTACTGTGAAGTAATTTTAGTTACTGTGCAGTCAGCCTGGCTTTACTTACTGGTATTTAGCCTCAATAAATGTTGCAGTTAATTGGATTCATCATGCTTCTGTATAAACTTCTAGTCCCAGATGATTTTCCTCTCTGCTAGCTGTATAGCATATATATATATATGTGTGTGTGTGTATATGTGTATATATATATATTTTATATAGCTATATAAAATTATCGGTCAACTGCTTCATACAGTTAGAGTTCACTGTTTCTGTACTAGGGGTAGGGATTCAGTAGCGGTGGACACACTGATGCTTAAAGAATGAGGTTTAACTGGCTCTTTACTCTGGTGGTTTTCATTCAAGAATACTGTTAAAAGCAAAACTATTAACTTAGGAGTTAATTGAAATTTTGGACTATTACAGTTTTCTTTTCTTTGCCTAGTGAATTCTTCATGCCAGGATTGGTTGATACGCACATTCATGCACCTCAGTATTCATTTGCTGGTACAAGAGTAGATCTACCTCTTTTGCAGTGGTTAACTACCTACACGTTCCCAACGGAAGCCAAATACAAAGACAGTGATTTTGCAGAAGAAGTGTATACTAGAGTTGTTGTAAGTATTGCAGATGTAATTTACTTATTTGATTGCATTCATATTTGTGATATATATATATTTATATTTTCAGAAGGTTGGGAGATAGGAGAGCATATTTTGATGTCATACAGCCACCGTTCTAATTGCCAGCCAAGATTGTCCCTTACCGGTTCCAGTCTTGTTCCTTGGTTGCTGAGAAAACAATTCATTTAATCAAATCACTAACGCTAATGTTGTTTATCATCTTTTCTGATATCTAAGTACATTGACTAATACTTAAGAGTACTGTCAGAGCTAGTAAAGCCAGCTGGTGCTTATAACTTCAACTCAAAAATAATCAAGTACAGTAAAAAAAAAAAAAAAGAAAAAAAAAAGCCCAGAGGATATTTTCTTCTCTGCGCAAAATCCTATATTATGAACATGTCTTTGGCAAAAGTACCTGACAGAGAAGAGGCTTCTCCTAGTTAACAGATTTGGGGTGTTCTGGACAAGTTGAGGAAGGAGGTTCTGCAGCTGAGGGCTCCTTAGCAGAAATTCATTTCACCACAGGGGCTTTAGCTGAAACCTTTGGGTGATATTTGTAACGTAAGTAGAGAAGGACTGTTTTGAACTAGGCTGGCAATAGGCTAAGCACCTTTTGAACTAGGCTAAGCAATATAAAGACTTAAAGGCCAAATTCCACTTGAACAGTTAGCAGCTAGGTCAGATTGCTGAGAAGTGATTCTGTTCTAGAACTGAAATATATCCTTTGATAAGTAAGCTGATACATCTTCACCAGGTTAATTGACTTGGCCAGCATAAGCCGTCTTGCATTTGGCTAATACTGTGACAGTATGTGTTGTCAAAGTCACAACATTCTGAGTCTGTAAGAAATAGTTATACTCTGCCTGCGAAACAGACTTTAAAAAATGACCTTCTGCAGTCTGGTGTAATAAGAACACTTAAGAGCAGCTGGGTCATGAACTCTAGCAACCAGCACACATGCCTTCAGTGATACAAAGCATAAGGATGATCTCACCTTCCAGAAGTATTCTTCAACATCCTGTTACTGTCTCCATCCGTTCAGACAGTACTGATCATGACTGGGTGAGATCACGTGGTCAGTGCTCACTGTGCCACATATTTAATAATATCACCTGGAAAAGAATGAGTGAAAACTGGCAGTTAGTTGGGGGAGCTTGAACGCAATGGTTAGCTGCTTCCCAAATATATATCAACTAGGACAATATCAGAAAGTGTCTTCACCTCCAGCTACTGCGGATTACTGGTAGGTCCACAATACTTCATGGCTGAGTGTGTCAGAACTAGATCTAGCCATCTAGATAGTGAATATTTTCAGTGCAGCTCGTTGGTGAAAAATAGTCTGAGAGCCACCTTGTCAGAGTTTCTCCAGTTTTAGTCAAGCTGGAAGGCTGAATGATTGTATCTCTTTAGATGTGACTTAGGCATAATCGCCGTCAGTTTGGTAAAAGCTGTGCAGCTTTGGTCCAAGAAATCTAAAAGACATTTGAATGCGTAAAGGATTTTTATAAGTCAGTGCTGCAGTATTACATTGAATATTTTCTGCAGAGCTCAAAAAGGCAGGAGGAGCTCAGAAAGCAGTGTTTGATGGAAAAGGATGAAGCTTAAAGGTAGGAAAAACGCAGGAAGAGAGACTGGAAAGAGCTAGTCTGTTTAGCAGATGGTGACAGATGAGGGATAAGTTAAAATTATATAAAACAGCTGGTTTGGGTGAGGTAGGTTAAAAGTTATACCATCTAGCTTGTGATACCGAGACAAGGGGATGGGTAGTAAATTTTAAAAAAAGATAAGCAGAAGTAACCTTTCACACAATTTGTAAGAGTACTGTGGAACTCATTTTCACATGAATTGAGGCCAAAATTTAGTAAGAGTTAAAGAGGATTAAAGAATTATGTTGGTATGAAAAATATCCTCATATATTGAAATTATAATTTCAAAATATGATATTCACTCAAAGTCAATTTTTTTGAATTGATATTGTATTTCAAATAAGAATCCTATGTTTACTAAAAGTAAAGAATCAGTTGCAACTTGGTAGAATTTTAGCTGAAACCTCCTGTCGTCCCTCAAATTTTAGAAAAGCCAATGCTTTCTGTTGGCATTTTTGGAACAAAATATTTTTAGATTTCATTTGACAATGAAGTTACAAATCCAGAGGAAGAGAATGTTGTCTCTTAAAAGCTAAAAATGACAAAGGTAGTTTGTCTCAGTAGTGACATTATTATTTTGAGACTCATTTTAGGCACCCTTGAAGATATATTGTAATTCATAGGCTTTAATTTGAACATTGTATGGAAAAGACAAAGCTTGACTTCATATTGTGAAAAATTAGCTCTAGCTATTCTCAGAAGTTGCATCAGATGGCCATTGGCTACTGTTGTCTCATTAAAAAGTTTTAAGAATTCTCAAATTACACTCTAACCAGGATCCAAAGAAGTAATTTAAATCTTTATAGTGGATAGGTGGTCAAAGAGGTACACATTGGTCCCAAGATAAAACTAGGCTCTAAATGACATCATGAGTTAATATAACTTTAAATGATTTATGTTTTATGGGTATTTTCTGTTTTCTCTTCCAAAAGTAGTATGAACAGGTTTCAACAACCATCTCCTTTCAAATTGGGTAATTAAATAAATAATTAGATTAAGGTCTAAGCAATTATTCTTGGCTTGTTTTTACCCTGAAGTATGTTACTTTGCATTCGGGGGTGAAGAAGGGTTTGTGTACCTGACAGCCAGTCGTTCCTAGCCACATCAAATGGCCAAATGAAAGTCATTACTTTTCCCCTAAAACCTTGCTTTGCTCGTGTCAGATAGACGGTGCTTCGCTGTGAAAACCAGAGTGTCTTTCCAAACTAGGGAGTCACTTAGATGACTAGTTGTTTGTATTTCTCAATTTAGGTCAAGTTAGACATAAGTCAGAACTTGCTACCAGTGTGCCTGAGGGAAATAAAGACAAATTTCTGTGGGTTTAACCATTGTTATAAATCTGCTTGGCTTTGGAAGAGGAATTTTTGTAATAATGTTATAATAGCTTTCTAAAATTTGAATATTAATAAAAAAGCTATATACTACCTTTCCACTTCACTGTAACTTCTGTTGAATTTTACAGTTACTAAATGTTCTTGCAGTTTGAAATCACTGGCTGCCCTGTCACTGTTCTACCTTTTAGCAGCTTGGCTGCTTTTTTTTCCAGACAGTTGAAACTGGTTTCTTTTTGTAGAGACGAACTCTGAAGAACGGCACCACTACAGCTTGCTACTTTGCAACAATTTACACAGATACTTCTCTTCTCCTAGCTGAAATTGTAGGTAAGACTTCAAGAGTGAGTTTTGAAGGATTTTGTGTGGACTGTGTTAGTTGAAGCAAATAGAGCTTAGGCATTTTAGGTTAGCTAAGGATCTCTCCCTCTATTCATTTTTTGTTATTCGTTTTCTCTTTCACACCCTGTCCCCAAAATCCAGTTCGGTTACCCCTATTCGTTTATCTGCCTTTCTCTTGCTGTTGTTAGCTTCCTCCCTCTCGGCCGTTCTTGATTCCCAAATCAACTGCTGACTGAACTTGAATTAGGTCCTCTGGAGTTGCTGTTCGGCTGCAGTTCTCTGCTTCTTGCAGCCTTTTACAGTTTGAGGATTAAAGGGCTTAATGACAAGAGGTACGGTCAGTGCCTTAATTTCCTGCTCAAGTTTCAACTGAGAATCAGCATCAAAAGTCTCCACACACCCTTTGAAACCAGAACGGTGGGAGAGGCATCAGGATGTTATCCCTCCCTCCTTTCCGCCGTTACAAATACCTGTTGTTTCTTTGCAAGTTTCGTGATGCTTGCAAGCTATCTCAAAACTCAGGTCCTGAAGGAGGGTGAGAATCTCAGTTTCTATCAATAATTTTCTAGTTTGTCTGGTTTTGTAGGACATCCCAAAACTCTGAAGCGAGTATACTCAACATCTCAGACATTAAAAGGGATCTAATATACAAACACGCTTAAAAGCATAGAAATTAATATTACATGCTTTCCTTTTAAATTTTACACACAAATTTTGAATCCTAACAGTGATAGATCTCAAGAAAAGGGTTAGAAGTAGCTCCGATTATTCTCTCCAGCCAAACTCATGTGGGAGACATGTTATAATGCTCTTTTCCCTATCTTAGGGAGAAAGTCTATTCTGAGATCTTCATGCCTTTTTTCAGCTCAGGGTGCTCACCTGCTACAGCTGCTGTACTTTGATGCATATATTTCTCCCTGCCAGGAGACATTTCTCATCCTCTGCTTCCCAGTGGTTTCCTTCTTATAATACCATTATGAATTCTAGTTGTGGTTAAACAACGTAAGTCAATCCTCAATTATAACACTTACAAAGTTGAGTGCTAATGTGGAAGAGGAGAGCTCCTATTTAAAGAGCTCCTATCTTTCCTTTTTGGCTCTAGAAGTTTCATGGATGGTCCCAACTTAAAGATGAAGAAAAGAGTGTAAATTCTGCTCATTCTTAAATGAAGCTGTCCGGGGTAGAATTTGCTATTTTGATTTCAGTGTAGGCTTTGTCAGGAGTTTTTGTGGAGAATGAGGCTGAGCTTTATTTTTTTATGCATCTCAATAGATAAATTTGGTCAACGAGCATTTGTCGGCAAAGTCTGTATGGATATGAATGACAGTGTTCCACAGTACAAAGAGACTACTGCTGATTCTATCCAAGAGACAGAAAGGTAAGATGAGTAAACTGATAGCACAGCCTTCAGAAATAAGACATTTTAATACAGCTGCAAAGTGAGTGTGAAGCTGATGAGGATTTACAGGCCTAAATTTATTAGGAACTTTCCTTTTTCTTCCTATGGCATTGTTTCCTATGGTTTTGGCAGTTCATACTTACCAGCTGCGGCACAGTACATGCAGTTTCTCTCTAGCTCTTTGAAAGGAATTAGGGAAGCTTCAGTTCTAGACGTTAGAGGGAATATGTGTGGCCTCCTCTTTTCCCTTCACAGCTCTATGTGTGGAGGTCTGTCTGTGACCTGATATGGGGAGAAGCAGCTCCTTTGCCCCCATTAACCACTGAGCAATTTTCTTCTCCCGTTTAATAAGGCTTTATTCAAGTTGTAGAAGTCAGCTTTCATATACTCTATTTTAAACATGCTCCAGTGCTTTTGTTCTCTAGCGTAACATCGGTGAAATTACTGTAACTTTCAACTAAGTGAATGAAAGAAGATCAAATTGAGACGATGTACCGTGTGAATTTATTTTAGGTCAGAGGGGAAGCCAAGATTAGGATATAGAGGCCTGCTGTCTTAGGCCTCATCTTTCTTGTCTATGCTTGGAAAATGCTTAGGCAGACATGTGAATTTGCTCATGGGAATATTTATGTCCTGGTTTAAGTGTTTCAGATATCAAGCTTAAAAAGAACCCAAGAAGTGTGATCACAGTGTCACAAAATTGATTGCAGTTGACTTCACAGTCAATCTGTGGAAATATTTGTATCTTATGTATGGAGATAATATACAATTTGAAGTACTTTGTATGTTTAATCTAAATTAAAATTAAAAATTGGAATCTACCCTTCTTCTGAGAGGAGGTTCAGTATAAAGTTAGATAGTTGAAATCTAAAATACATGATATCCTGGTTGTAAGAGCAGTCATCAGGAAAGAGGAATACCCGTATTGAAATCTGCTCCTGCCCTACAGCTAGCAGTGGTTTGAACCTGACCATCCTTCTCTTTAGAGGAATGTACAAATCAGCAGGGTGTAGAGTATTTTGAGCTAGGTCCTTCAGTTTTAAAACAGTGCTGACACTTCTAGTGAATGAGAAAAAGAATGAAAATAACCACGCTGAAGTTCTGGATTTTCACCTGAGAGAGCAATGCTTATGTTCTAGTGTCTGTTCCAGTGAACAGAATTAATTATTGTAGCAAGTGAATCATTAAGAGGAGAGACAGATGAACAGAAACCTAATTCACGTTGCCTTTTGGCTCTCAAAGTTAGGCAATGGTGGGTTCAAATTCCATCAGTCATAGATAGAAACTGAGCTGTGTTTCTGGCAGGTGATCTGGTATCAGCTTCAGTATTGTGAATCTAGCATTATTTTCTTTCCAAGTTATTTCACAGATTTGATCCAGTGTTTGTTATGACCAAAATTACATTTTTTAAAAATAAACTATGACATAAAAAAAATTCACAGAGCTCCTGTCCAAAACCCTTTTCATGCTAGCTTTTGAGAGTTCTTTGTATACATGGCATATACAAGTTTTCAGTGCGTTGCTTCTCTTCAAAGTCAGAGAAAGTTCTGTTTGCTCGTTTATATTACCCATATTGACTATTTGAGAGTTTTTGCAGAGGGTCTCTGGGATGGCTCCTTTTATTTAACAAAGTACTTGAAACTATATCATATTTTCCACGAGTTAGATAGTTTATGCACCAACATTAATATAAGCACTTCTAGAAAATCAAGGATCCTTTAAATAAAGGAGGAATAAAGACTCATAAGTTTAAATACCAACATATGCAACTGCTGTAAAGAAAGTGTGAAATCTTGCAACACCTTTCAAAAACAAGACTTTAAATGATAGAATACACTTAATGCTGTGATTTAAATTCAAGTACAGACAAATTTAAGTGTTTTCCTCTAATGCTGCTGCTGTAGCATACAGTTATGTTTTCAGTGAATTTAATGTAATGTATTTGGTGTCCACTGAGAACTGAGAGTAATTACTACATGTCTAAGGTTAATTATTAGAAATGAAAAAATTCTGCATATTTAGGGTCAAGTTCACAGCTGGCATAATTTGGTGCCGTCCTCCTAACTTTAGTGTAGTTCATCTTTTTATTTCGTCTGAGAATCTGGCCCAGCTTTCTGTATAAGACTGATATATGTCTGAAATGCTTAATAAAATGCCTAAATGAATATTTTGTGTATTTTTATTAATTTATAACATAGGTGACAATTATAACAGGTTTTTTTTTCTATCCTTTTTCAGATTTGTTAAAGAACTACTAGAAAAGAAAGTAAGTAGAGCTCTCCTTTGTATTCGCTTCTGTATTCAGAAAATGCAGTGTGAATATATGGAATTACTAAATTACTACTGACAAACTTTACAGACTTGGTGACAAATCAATGCAAATAAGCCTTTCTGACAGAAATTCGCAGTCTGCACAAACTGTTCTGCTAGCCAGGTTGTTGAGAAATGGTACAGCAGAAAAATGTTCTGTGAATGTTCTTTATTCACTTCAGAGTGCCCAGCTTCCTTACAAAGGACAATTTTCTGTAAAAGAAACGTGGAAGTCAATACATCACTTTGTGGTATATATAAGTAGACTAATAAAAGAAGGTCTTCTCACCGACAAAAACAGGTATCTTTACAACGCAATTGCTAATCCATTACCAAATTAGTATTTTGGATTGGCACATGCATTCAAGTGTGCTTCTAAAGAAGTTCTGCAGATACAGGTTGACACTCGTGTATTACAGGCAGGGATTCTTTTCTCATCAGCCTTCTGTTTTCTGTGGCTTAATTTGTTAATATTTTTATCTCAATGTTTTCAAGAATAGAAGCCTCAAGTCTAGTGCCTAAATTGGAGTAATTAGTGAAGTAATTGTCAAAATCCTGCATCTGGGAGGTGGGATAAGAAATTGCAAACCAAGTTATCGCGTACTTTCTTCTAGTGGTGTGAGATGCACAATGACAAGAAGTATTGCCTGTATGTGAGGGTAGAGTAATGCAATTTTTTTTTTTAATGAAAACTTTAATCCAGAAGTGCAAAGTGTAAAGTAAATAGCTGCAATTCTAGTCTAGGTATCTTTTCCACTGTTTTCTAATTGCATAGCATATCTGGTCCTACCACTAATCTTCCTGTCTATGGAGTGTAAGGACAGATTGCTGTTGTCCTGAGTGGAGAAGATCAAGCAAGGAAAAGGTTTTCGTTTTTACAGAATATGCAGTTTTGCATCATTTCCTCTCCTTGTGGACCCTCTCTTTGAGGCTTATGGAAGCAGGACTTGGGAAAAAGTCTGTTCATTCATCTGACTCATCTCTCTTAATGACTTGACTTCATCAGCAAATTGAGAAAGCATTCAGTGCTTCTGTTGAAGTCTGGTAAAATCTCAGTGAATTAAGAAAAGGGTTCTAATAAGCTTCTTTTCTGAAAACAATTTTAATGATTTTAGTAAAAAAAAACTTTGTTTCTCTATTTCTATGATGAAATTTCTAATAAAAGTCAGAAGATGACGGAACAGACTATTTATTCATGTCAGCAAAGGATGCGACAAGGAATGAGCCATACAAACAAAATCTAATTGTTGCCTAAATGCTTGTCATTCATTCTGCTCTTTATTATGGTTACTGATACATATGTGCAATCCTAAGCATATCTTTTTAATGTTTTCAGTATCCAAGGGTACAGCCCATAGTAAGTCCTCGCTTTGGCCCTTCCTGCACAGAGGATTTGCTGCGTGCACTTGGCAATTTAGCACAGGCTTGTGATCTCCGTGTGCAGGTAAATTCTGAAACCTCTCTTATACAGAGAGCTTTTTGCATAGAAAGCATACAGACCAGGCAGTTTTCATAATTTCAGCAAAGCACTTAAACTGCATTCTTAACTTTTAAATTTCTATCTTTTAAATTCCTCTGAAATTATTAGTGGTTCTCTACCAGATCACTGTGACCTGCACAGGGAATGAGAAAGCTCGTAGCTGGAAGGCTCCACATTTCAGCAACCCCCAACACATGGTTACTAGGAGACCAACTGCAAGTATTGGAGGTTAGAGCAACCTTTAGGTTGCTAAAGGTTTCTCTCCCCTATTCCAAGCTTGTTACCTCTATCTCCCTGCCTCCTGCTGTTTCTGCACAAAGCAGATTTCAGTAGATAACAGAATTAGATACCTTTATGTCGTATTTAGGATGGTTAACATAGATGTAGGATTTACTATGTGATATGGTTTCTGTGGATAAGAAGAGCTTACAGATCTGTTAAAATTTTGAGAACTTTCTTTTTTGGTTACACAGCTGTAAGTATATACTATACTAAAGCTGCCCTACGTTAAGATTATTTGTCCTTATGAGGCAGGGCATTTTCAAAATACAGGAAGTACATACTCCAGTGACAAGCACAGGATGAGCCAGATTTTTAGCTGAGACCAGGAACTACTCAGCCTATGTGAAGATATGTGGAGCAGTTACTCTTTATGTTGCCCTGATCCCAGGGTGCACGCTGTGGTAGGCTGATATCTTTCTTTTATCTTGCAGTTCTGTGTTTTTTTTATTTTAACATTTGCCAAATAGCAAGTGGGTCTTTATGTCACCATGGTACTGGGACGGGCTGTCCAAGCATTCCTTCCCATATCATTTTTAAGTGAACAAAACAGCTACTCTTTTGGACTGTACAGATCTCTGATGGAAGTGGAAGCATTCAAGGACTGGATCTAACTATAGATTTAATAAAGATTAGTGTTTAGCCGTCATTATGTGTTTAGAACCAGTAGATTGCTCAGAAGGTTATCATGTTAGGTTTATTGTTATTTAAAGCTAAACATAAGTGGATACTCATCACTGTGTATGTTCCTATTGCAGAGTCACATAAGTGAGAATGAAGAAGAACTCAAACTTGTGGAGAACCTGTTTCCAGCCTATCAGAATTACACTGATGTGTATGATAAAAACAAGCTGCTTACCAGCAAGGTAGTTTCATAGAACCTTCCACAGAGTAGCTTAGATTTATCTATATAGAGAATATATTGGTGAACTGTAGTTGCCTGAGAAGTATATTCTTTTGTCAAGGTCAGGAGACGGAGTGACATCTGGGGAAAAGAAAATTAGACTTATGTTATCCATTACATATGTGTTGATCATGGTATTGGAAAGATATTGCAACTTTAGACGAGCCTGTGCTTTCTCTGAGCATTTTAGGAAAGATGAGCAATAAAGACATTTTATGGTCCCTGATCCAATTTCCAGGTGCTCCAAAGAGGACTGGAGGCAGTAGGATGAGAAGGAGGTTAGGTAAGGCTGCTAATGTTGCGGCTGGTAACTCTCGAGCAGTACCCATTTAACGTTGTGTTACAGTGTTCCCGCACATTGATGTTGCCTGAAGGTACGTTAGGATAGGACCAATTTTTTTCAGCAGTTTCCAAGGGAAAAGTAGGTTATCCTATTACAGTCTGTATGTGAGCCTCACATATGGACAGTTCACTGTTCCTACTACCCAAAACATTCTGATCTCATTAGCTAATTTTACCAAATATTGATAGAGGCATAGTGGCCTGAAAATTTGAAATTCGTTAAAGTTTTCACCCTGACTAGATAAAAGCAGACAGATCTTAATACCTGCTCACTCTAAGTAGAGGTTGGAGTGTGAGGTTACACCTTATTGGATATCAGAGAGCCCATGCAAGAGAGACTTTATAAGCACCTAACTACAGTCAGAGTGCTTAAACAGCTAAACTGATTTAAAATTTTAGAGAATTTTCAGAGACACAAAGGACAGTTGAAAACTCCGTGAGAATTAGCTATTAAACTCCCATTTCTGCCTTTGAAAATCTACCCCCGTAAATTACATATGTATAGTCTTTTTCTACCTGAGAAGGCAATACAGACTACTTAAGTATGTATATGATACTAACTTTTGTTTTCTTGCATGGTATTGTGCATGCTAAGTTGTTGCATAAATATAGTAGAGAGAACACCAGAGCTGCTAAAACACAGATCCCAATTCTGTCAAACTTTTTTATCACTTACACAGCACTGGAAATTGTCACTAAAAGCCAGGGTTGCCAGTGCTTTCTGATGCAAGGCTCCTTGCTCTTTGAGAAAACATTGTTTTAAAGACGAGCATAACAAAACAGCAGGACTCCTCCCTTTCCCTCCCAAAACCTAAGACGTCGAATTAAGTGTTTTTAATGTTGAAATATGTTTTAATGCTGAAATACTTCCCCTTTAAAAAAAAAAAAAAAAGTAGAGCGCTACAGAGATCTGATTCAGGAGGTAACATATGTAACATGTAACAGCATGCGCTTACCTTAAAATGTGACTACTCTCATTGAACTGAGTTTCAGTTGCATTTGAGCTTGAGAGAAGGCAAGGATATAGTGCCATCAGGAGATGTTAAGTGAGAACAGTACTTGTGCAGTTCTGGTTTATATCACCAAATTGCAAGGCCTAATAGAGCTCTTTCCCTGTCATATCCTTCTCTCTGAGTAGGTGTTTTGCATATTAGATAATTCAAAGTAGATTTATCTGGGAATAATGAGCTTATGTCCTATTAAATGATACTATCATATCTTTCTGTGTTTTGTGTAGACTGCTTATGAACTTATCTTTAAAATCAACAAATGTAAACCCAGAAGGAAAAGTTGGTTATCATTTCTATAACAAAATAACTTATATTAATCAGAGAATATTCCAGATGAGATCTACCTAGTGCAGAACTTTGGAGAAGCCATGGAAAACAAGCTATGGGTGTACACATCTTCCATTATACCTGATACACTCCTAACCCCAATACTTAATCTCCATGGCAGCTATAAAATACACATCATAAGGTTACTATGGTGCTATGGCAACTGGGGAATTCTTGCTGTTGTTCCTTGCATCTCTTATGTGACAGACACAGTCAGGGCAAGAGTTAGCATCTTACCTTTTTATATAAAGAAATGAAAAAATGCAAGGGGAATGATGTGTGTCTTAAGGTCTGATTTAAGGCTTACTGAAGTTAATGATAGTTTCTTTGCTGTTAATTTCAAGAGATTGCTGCTGCATTCATTTCTCTTGATAGGACCGGGTGCCCTTTGGGCTATTTAAAGGAATGCAGCAAAAATTCACAAGCATTGAAATAAATCCAGTGCTGAGTAAATCAGTGATTCTATTTCTCTTTAGGCAGTGATGGCCCATGCCTGTTATCTTTCCGAAGAAGAACTGAAACTTTTTAACCTTCGTGGAGCTGCAATTTCACATTGCCCCAGTTCTAATTTTTCGTAAGTGGGGAAAAAAAAAAGAAAGGAGAAAAAAGAAAAAGAAAAATTAATAGTTTGCTGTTAGATAAAGCTGTTGTTCACATAGTACCCTCAGTCCAGCCTACAATTGCAAGCTTAGTTATAGGGTAGCCCATTCCACTAGAAGTAGCCTGACATATTGGATCGAGGATGACTCTTCATGTTCCACTTCTGCATGGTATGCTTTACACTGACTAGAGATCTTTGGGTATAATAATACATATAGGAGTATTTCTTTCTCTAAACTTCAGTTTCACATGACTTTCCTGTCAGTGTCAGATTCTGGTCATCTCCCATCCGCCCCCCGTCCTCCCCCCTCGCCGCCGATGTATATTTTGGGGAATTCTTGTTGTCTTATGATGTGACTGGATCTGTTTTAAGGAATCTGTTAAGCAGACATGAGGCCAGCTGGGATAGTGTGCTAAATGTTAGCAGTGCTTTAGCCTTTAACATAATCGTTACCTTGTTTGAGATAGATGACTAATCAGAGCTTAAAAGATTCATGAAATAAACTCCCATCTCCTGGAGTATACTTTACATCACGTATGGATTTTCTTCCCAAATATATTAAGGCCTGTTTTTCAACAGATAACTATAAAACTGTGGGAATTTTCTATTTAAGAAATTTACTTTACTTTCGGTGGTTAAAAAACATAATTTGGGTTTATGAACACAAACGCTGCATCACTGTTACCTAATCTGTCACGTGCATACTGAGCTGTTGCCATGAAACTACTTTAAAGCCTTACTCTTACTGGAGTGTAGGAATAAACTTTCCACTGTATGTATCATACAAGATATTTTCCTTGTTCCAATCCAGGTTGCGCAGTGGTATCTTAGACGTACAAAAGGTTCTGAAACACAATGTGAAGCTTGGCCTTGGCACAGGTTTGTAGTTTGCTGTAGAACTGGTTTATTTTAAAAACAATTTTAAGAGACAAAAACGTACCACATGTTTGTATTTAAAAGTCAGCATGCTTCCAACCCATGGACCTGATTCTTTTTTTTCACTACTTCAAACCTAGCACTGGTCAAAAAATGCTAAAAAAAAAATACAGGAATGAGAGAAGAAAGTGATGCTCCTGTCATGAGAATAAACAGGGCCTGAACTGCAAATTTGTATGTTTCTATTACACTGTGTTTCCTTTCTATTTACATGGCCTTGTATATAAGAGCACCTTTTTTTTTTTTTTCTTAAGAGTTGTATGTTGATAGACAGTGCTTAGCGATAAAACTTTTTGTATTTACCGCATTTGCTCCTTTGTAACATTTAACTAAAGCTCATAATACTTCGAACCAGAGTATTATTCACAAAGCTTGTTTCTAAGAGTCTCATCTCTTCTAGATGTTGCCGGTGGATATTCCGCTTCCATGCTTGATGCTATCAGGAAAACGATGATAGCATCTTGTACCCTTCAGGTTAATAAAGCAAATGAAACAGGACTAACTCTTAAAGAAGCTTTTCGCTTAGCAACCCTAGGAGGAAGCCAAGGTAAGAAGAAATTTCTCTAGAATGTGCATAGAGAACTACAGCTCTTTTTGATACTGTGTCTCTATCTTTATCTTTTTGATATTGTCTCCCTGTCTTTAAAAGATGGCTGATTCATATGCCAGAATGAAGTCTAATAATACATGTGCTGGATAGAGATTTCTTTCAGCCTCTCAACAATACCAGACTGATTTCAGAAGTGCATTCGCATTAAAGTTGACAATTTAATAATAGAATCTTAATAATTTTTCAGGGCTCTACATTTTCTTTGAAAAAACACTCAGACTTTTAGTCACTGGTGGCTTTGTGTTTATCACACCAATTGGAAAGGCTTTGTTTTCTCAACAACCAACAGTTAAAGAAAAGCTGTGCAATTGCTGTAAAATTTTGCATCATATTTGTCATCTGCTGCTTAATTTGTTTCTTCTTTTGAGCTGTTGGTGAGACAGCTTGTCATGGCCTTTCCAGCAAAGCAAAACATGATGCAAATCACCCCTGAGAGGAAAGCATGAAGTTTAAACAGTGTATGCATCATGGTTATTTAAGGTGCAGTTGCATCTGGAGAATATAGTCATCGTATTGGATACTCTGCTTCACTGACATATTTTGTCATGATCACTATTCACAAATACTTGGTTTTTTTTACAATTAGCAAAATTTTAGCAGACTTTGTATGATTTTGCAGAAAGCAAATCCACACGCAGGTAAAAATTTCTTATTGTTTCAGTCAGCAGAAATGCACCCACTACCTGCTAAAACACTAGTCCTAAGGCTTTTCAGGGTAACTTTTTTGTTACTCTTGTCAAAAAAACCTTCTGGTAATGGAAACTAGAAATATTAATGTGAACCTGAAAGACGTAATGAAAATTTCCTCAAGTAGCTTTTCTCAGGTGTGCAGCTGAATTTCTAGAGGGTGTTATGGGGGAATAGAGAAGACAGAAGGAAAATGAGCAAAGGACAGAAAAGCAGAGATCTGTTTCCCAGAATAAATACTGTGCTAACTGAAGGTGAAAGTAAGTAAATTCAGATATAGAAAGGAAAACTTTTCAAATCCCAAACTGGTGTATGTGGCTTCTTCCCCTCCCTAATTCTCTCATGTTTGTTTTATCTGGGTTCTGGAGTTTACATTACTATCGTATGATAGTAATATATTATTTTGTTGCATTGATTTTGAACTATTTTTTCCTTACTGAATTACTTTCAGAAAGTGAGTAGAATGTAAGGTGCTGGTATACCCTGTCAACAGCCTGGACAAGTACAGTTTTGAGAAATTTAAATGTGACGGAGTTTTTGTTGGAATAATTTGCCTTTCTGAAACTCCTATACGCTTGTCACCCTCTTGTGTTTAATCTAAAAATTGCATTCTGCTCACAACCCAAAAGAATATGAGATCATTTCAGTTGACACTGCTAAGTAGTCAGAGTCAGTATTTCACCATTCTGAGGAGTTTAAATATCTTTATGGTATTGTGAAGCTCCTGTCACACACAAAGTTCATTAAAAACTGAAGTTCATTTGTCAGACAGGTACAGTCTAGGAACAAGTGAAGAAATTATGTGCAGATGTTATGCCCTTTGATAACCTAATTTAATTCCTGAGCGTTGGAGATGTTGATTTCATGCTCAGATACTTTGTGCAACATAAAAATATTCTAAGTTATTTCAAAGGAGACGCAAAGGCGTCTCTTTAGCTGTCCCAAGCACTTGGAAGCATCCATTTATTTATGATGAAACTGTAGATTTTCAGTGTTTGTGGACCTGAGATCTAAAGGTTGTGATGAAGCCACAAATACTAAAGCTAAATAATAGAGTTTTCTACTAAGACAAGCCTTACAGCTAGATACAGGAGCTAGATCTTGAGATGATTTTTTATCTCATCACGTTGATCTTTTTCTTACCGATTACCCTTAATTATGCTCTCAAATAATAGTAAACACACCTTATTTATTGTTATATATTACTATTATAGTAGGTCTATGCAAACTGTCAAGGTTGCTTAAGCTGTTTTATAAACATAAACAATGTAGCCTGCCTTAGCAAAGTGAGCATTATTATATACCCTGCTATTGCTTTGACTTCATTTCATTGGCCCTTTAAGAACTTTCCGGTTTCTGCAATGGAAGCAATTACTATTCTGTTTTAAAAAGTTAATAGTTTATGCATCAGATCTGCTCATGACACAAAAGTAAGGGAGAGCATTCATAGAACAAAAATTAAAAATTGGGTTTGAATTGTTATTCAGATTTCTTTTACCCTTAGCAGATGCCCTTCATCATTTCACCAGAAGATGCATATTTTTATTAAGAGTCACTTAAGAACTCAGAAGTCAGCATATTCACTGTTATAATTATTTCAGGGTTTTCCTTGTAACAATCTAAACTCTTGTAGTTTTCTTACGAACATCTCAAATAAGTTGGCAGATCTTTCTGTAGAGTGGAAAGAGGCTTGTAATGAAGAAAGATCTGTTTGTGAGCTTATGTTGTTTTTCAGCTCTAGGACTAGAAGATGTGATTGGAAACTTTGAAGTTGGCAAAGAATTTGATGCACTGCTAATCAACGCAAAGGCTTCAGACAGTCCTTTTGACTTGTTCTCTGCTGATACTTTTGAGGTAATCAGAACAGGGTTGATGATGGAACAAATTACTGAAAATAATGTAGTAAAGATCTGTGATACAGCCAGAATTATTGCAGCCTCTTCAGGGTTATCTCGGTGACAGGAAGCTGGTGTATTGCTCTACTGCTGTCTGTATTGTGGCCCGAGAGGTACAATACTATTGTCAGAATCTTATTAGCCACACTGATAGTCCTATTCCCCGTGAGCAAAAACGCATATAACATTTTAATGTATGTTTTGTTAGCTCACGTTGGCAACTGGAGTCGGCTAATTGCAGTGACAAATAGCAGTCAAGAGAGAGCAATTTAGTTTCGGTTAGCGTTTTGAATTCAGACTGAAGAACCCGTTCCCAGTCCAAGTCCAGGCTGCCTTGACTTCACATTGAAACAAGAACTCAAGATAGCTAATTTAGATTAAAAGCATAGGTTTCCTATGACTAAATAAGCACTATTGCTATTATGCAGTGGGGACACCTTCTCAAACAAAACCTTTCTATGATTAAAAAGAGTAGAAGGACAGTTATCTGAATTTACTGATGCAGCCAGACTGCCTGTTGCTGCCTCTATTGTGAAGGCCATCGTTCACTTAGAAATGCTGGCGTAACTGGTCAGGTAGTTGTTCCTTAACCTGATTCAGTCACAGTGATCTGGGTTTAGATGAAACCCTTTGAATTGTAAATGTTTTTCCTAAACTGAATCATTCTGGAAAAAGAAATATTTTCCAATGTCAGTCAAAACCTTTTTAGCCAGGTTAGTAGTAGGTAGGAGTATAAAAATGCTTACAGCTTTGTGTCATTTTTCAGTAGCAATGAATGAATTTGAGACCTCTGAACATGAGGAGGGAGAAGTGTTATGTTGTAGGCATCTATTTGTTTAACTGCTGTCAAAGGTGTGCAGTATCCTGAGACATACAGCCTCCTTACTGAAAATTAATTATTAGAAAACATGCAAATTAACTTTTGATTTTACAGTTATTAATCCTATATAGGAAAATTTTTTTTGCCAACTATTTCACACTTCAAATAAGTGATTTGGGGTAGCAGATACTACTTTCTGAATCTGATTTTCTCCCATTTTTTTCAGGATACCCTCCAGAAGTTCCTGTATCTAGGTAAGTTTTGATCCTCCACCACACACAAAGTTATCTTTTTATTTCATATGTAAAAGTCTTCTAAGTTGGTATGGAGATTACTTTGTATTTACTTATAAGTATTGAGTAAGAATTAAGTAGTACAACTTTTGTCCTTTGGAACCTAGTAAAATAATCGATTTAACATGATCAGATGTATTAAGTTTAACTGTCAGACTTATTTTCAGAACTTTTGCAGACCAGTTGCTGCTGTCTTTTTTAGTCCCAGACAAAAACACCTTAAAAAAACTCTTTAAGAGATTAGGTGTTCTTTATAGGACGTTATCTGGCCAAGAATTGTGCTGCACATCCTTGTGCTGTGCAGGGATTTTGAAGCTGGTTCTCGCCGTATCTGTGTGGTTCTCTACTTCGGCTTTTGTTTTTTTGCGAAGTTAGTTCAGGCAAAGCAGTGTCCTAACACACCTTTACTAGTGACTGGTACCAGAGTTAGTTCAGATAGATCTGTGCAGCAGTGCATTTTCTGTACAGACATAATTTCATGTTTTGAATCTTCTAAATATACAGAAAATCCATGACGTTATTGCAAAAGCTGAATGCAGACCCACGTTTATTTCTACAAAAAAGCATGAGTACTTTAATGTCCATTCGTCTTTATGGTAGCCCCGACTGTTCCTCTCCAAATAAAGTTTCTCATTCGTAGCAGACAGTCACTGAAAATGATTTGCTCCAAAACTGATACTGAGGATTGCGTCATTTTCAGTAAGTAGACTGGTGCATAGATTTATGTCCAAATCTGTTCTTTGACTGTATTATTTCAGGTGATGATCGGAATATTTCTGAAGTATATGTGGCTGGAAAGCAAGTGGTTCCTTTTTCAAGTTCAGTATAAATCCATTTCCCTTCTGCAAAGCGTTCTGCTGATGATTCTGCATCTGATTTGGAAAAGATTGGTTAAACACAGTGCCTGATCATCAGGAATGACATCTCATTTTTTATTTAATGTTTCAAAACTTGCCAATGTTGGAAAATCTGTTAGGCCTTTAAAGAGTTACTTTACCAAAACTATTAGAGTTATGAGAGGAAAAAGGCATTTAAATTTCTCTATGAAAATAGCATGTAGGCACTGATAAGGACTTGGTAGATATTTTCATTAAATAGGACAGCTGCTGGTCCTTTTAATAATAGCGTAGGAAATATTACGATGAGCAGTGAAACTCCCATTATCTCTAAGCTTTTTAATTTAAAAAAACCAAACAACCCAGTAGTAGCAAAATTATTTTGCAAATACTGAGTGTCGTGGAAGAGTGCAATTTCGTTAATGTTATCACTGAGTATGTGATAATATAATTTACTGACATTTTGGGGCATTTAAAACACTTTTCGGCTTTCTTTAGGTGCTGCTTAGTTTTTAAAATAATGATTTCATTTAAAATATTATTTTTTTAATAGAAATAAAATAAGAAGTGTGTATTTATGAATAAATAAGAGTCCTTATTTTCAAAGAATTAAGATTTGTCATTAGTACTCAGAATACTCAGATGAAAGAGAACTGATGGACAAGCCATGTAAAAAATGCATGGTTGGTCAAATAGGCTCAAATTGGGAGAGCCGAAGAGCTGTATTATTCAGTGATTCTATGAATTGAAACTCATCATCTTCTCAGTTTTGTTCTTAAGTCTAGAGCAGTCAGCCCGATCTCGCACCGTTTTTGTACCAGTTCAAATAAATCTTCCTTTGGTGGAGTGACAGCTGAACAGAACTTGTATTAAATCAGAAGCAGGCAGTAGGACATCTGAGTGGGCAACTCTTGTGGTAAATAACTGAATAGGGTTTTTTTGGGCCGGAGGGAACACTTCATCTATTTAACCTCCTGCAGAACCTTCCCAAGTTCTTTTGCTCCTAACTATTGAGACTGTGGTGATATGAGGTCCCTCCCCCTTTCTGGAAAAGAATTAGTAGGTTTAAAACAAAAATTGGCCAGAAATGGATTATCCCTGGCTGTTACTAATTTTGAGTTGAGGTACAATTTCTTACTAGAGAAAGCAGCAGCTCAGCTTTAAAGTGCCCTTTGGTGTCTTACAGCACTGAAGGAATCATAATTCCAACCCTGTATAATTCCAGGTAAAAAAAATTAATGCCGTTTTTATTTTGGAAGTCCCGTGTGACTTCCTTTCTTAAAAAAACATACTTCCCTACTTTTTACCTGAGCCTTTTTTTTTTCTTGTGGGATTAGTTGGGAGGTTGCTTCCTATTGCTCGATTATTAATGATTTTGCAACACAGAGCATATAAACTTGAATTTAAGTCTCGATAGAGACAATGTTGTACAGAGTTACTATAATCATATATTGAATATATGATTTTAACACCTGCTTCAAACTCCTTTGATTTCGTTGAGCTTTCTTTCACACTTTTACCTCACTGCCTGATGGTGTAAAGGCACAGGACTTCCTCGTGTTCCTAAAACAGGGGAGGTAGCTGCATGGAAGTTTCCCTTCATGTTTAGTTCCCAGAAGAATGGTTGGCGCAATAGTACTAAAAACTTGATCTGATTTTAAAAGCATGTTTAAAGCTTATGTGCGATTAAGGTTATGCCTGCGTGGGACAGAATAGAACCATGTAGAAGTATTCAGGCTAGCTTATGGACTTAAAGCAGTATTGTCTGTCTAGGTGTTTTGCCTAAACTGAGTAGCCCTATTGAAGAGCATGGTATATTGGCTTGCAGACACCCCTTTAATACAGCAGCACTGCTTGCTCATTTAGAGCTAGCTCAGATATCTTCACATGTTACTGCACTGTGCCATGTGTGTGCTCGAGTATAGTCTTCGTATTCATTACATTTAATCATTCCTAAGGTCTTAAGAGTTAAGGTTTAGGGATTAAGATTTTCACGTTCAGTTAGAGTGCTTTTCCTAACAGTTTTGGTTTTCATAGCTCCCAGTCTCTTCCCTAGGGAGTAACCACAGTTCTTTAACTCTGTTTCCTGATTCAGGGAGCATTTTTCCTCACAATTTTTGACATAGATTTAATTGACCAAATTTCATATTCCAGAACTGAAGATCTGTGAGACACATGTTTTAATCCTCCCAGTTACTGTTTGAAACTATTTTTAGGAAGTTGCATGGTTTGCAGCTTTGCAAGCTTTCCTGAAAGAATATATTCTGGGATGGGGAAAGATTACACAGTCTTGTGTGCTCTATATGTTTGTGCCACGCTCCTTCACTTACAGAGTTACGAACTAAATCAACGCTTTTATTGTAGTGGTAGTCCAAATTGTTCCTGATTCTTATTGCTTTCCTGCTCTTTTGTAGTTAAGAATGGGATTCAGCTCTTCGTAAAAGATTTAGGGGGAGGGAAGGACTGCTTTTTGGCGAACTGGGAATATAAAAAAACTTTAACAAGCTCAACACTACCTCCTGCTGGTGTGGTTGCAAAGCATCTCCTTAGAATAACTGCTGCCAAAGAGTTTTGTATTTGAATATTGGCTATGTAATGAGCAGTTTGATTCTCATTAAACTCAGGCACAAGGTAGGAACTCAATATAGAACTGGAAAATCAACTTTTCAAGAATCTCAGCTGGAGGAGCAGCTCTGCCTGCAGGTAGTACCGTGTACTTTTCACAGCACCATGCAATGCCTAAGAAAGGGAAGAGCGAGGACTAAGTTGAATAGCATCACACTAAACACTGAGGTGCTTAGTGGTTCAAAAAAAGCCTGAATTTGATGTGAGAAGAAGCCAATGGAGGAATTATTGTAGCCATATCAAAAAGAAACTGGAAGGTAATTTCAGCAGCAGCATCCTTAAATAGCATTGAATGAATCAAGACTGTAATTCCAGAAAAAAAGTTGAGGTGCTCCCACAAGTTGGTACAGTAGAACCTGGCTTATGTCCAGAATTTTAAGGTTCCAGGGGAACCTTTTGCAATACCAGGGATATAGTATCCAGACTTCTCAGAAACAATTTTGGGAAAGCCACTGAAGATCCCATTTGGAAGTATTAATCCGTGGTACTCTCTGACATTGTCTCTGTACATTGTCAAGTTATTTGGTTCAGTAGGAGTGGATCAGTAGATGAAAGAAGTTACTGCTGAGACTGATACACCTACCCCATAGGTGACTTCTGAGTATATTAGTCCAATTCCCTGGGTATATGTCCCCACTACACATGTGGTTCGAAGCAGGCTAAGTAATTGTTGCAGATCTTAATGTCTGTATTAGAGGTTGGAGTGCGTTTGGCATGCATCGGAGCCTCCAGTGTAGTTTCCTCCAAATGAAACTAAATCCTCGTTCACCAAAACCACTCTGCAAACTGAACCAAAGTTCAGTAAGTGAGGATGATTGGAGCATTCACTTCAAAACAGCACTGCTGCCTCAAATCAAAATGTTAATAGAGGCTAGAAGTTTCTTTTTTTCCCT